TATAACCCTTGTGGATATTTGCAAAATAGTAGATCGACTTTTGCCGACTTTAGAAAGTCATCAGAATGTCATTTATCATCCTGCAGCTGTGAAGATTTTTATTTCTGCTTTAAAAGTCTATAGGAGTTTTTTTACCCTCTGGGTAGTAAACTTAGAATGCAAATCTTGCCTTTAATCAGAAAAACATACTCATTCAAATAAAATTCATTAGCTGCGTATCGAAAAGTGCCCAAAAACTGAACCTAAAAGTAAAAATCTACGACAATCGCAGATATCTTCGAACAAGTGATGCGTGTAATGTAAGAAGCATTTAAAAAATAACTTGGATGTAGTCTCAGGATGGTGTTTTAAGCTGATGTTTTCAAAGAAAGAGCACACAAAAACAAACAGGGAAATTATTTATCCAAATGTTTTATTCAAAAAGTATAAATTAATCCTTAAAAGCAATTCGCGTAACACTAACTAGGTAAGGTAAGGTAAGGTAACGCCTTTATTTGAAGAGGGTATTTTGCACTGAAATATCAGCAATAAAAGACGGATCAGTAGTATATAAATGATTTAAGCATGTGGAACTCTTTGGTCGTGTACGTTACTGAACTGATGACTTGACTTAAACTTAAGCTCTTGATTTTGATAGGTTGCTGTATCAAGGTAGTTGATATTAAATTCTCCATGCAAGTAAATACATCTAAGATAGGCTGCCTCAATATTAAGTTCCAGCGTGGTATCAATAGCCACGGTTGCAGAAGGCGGACGGTAAGCAGCTCCCTGACTAGAATAGGTCGTTTCGATTTGTGTGGATTTATCTGCAGCCATAAGGTTTCGAGAGCATAATGTTCTAAGCTTTCAATTCTGTCGGCCTTGAGGTTTTCATTTATATAGGCAAGCAAGCCACCTCCCTTTTGAGATCCAGCTCGATCTTTCCGGATCATATTGTAACCATTGATTGCCAGCAGGCTGTCAGGTTTCTTTGACGTAAGAAAGGTTTCGATCAGAACAGCAAGTCAGTTTTCTCGTTTGAACTTAGAAATAGCTTTATCTGCTCTAGTTCGGTCTAATCGGTCAGGTTAACATTCCTGTCTGTCCTATTTTTAGGCCATTTCCTGGAATAATGTGAAATTCGTCTTCATGATGATTTTGTGGGATGATTCGACCAGGATTAGGGTTTACATCTCCCCTGAGTTCACTAACTGACTCGCGGATCCGTTCCCGCCAGTAAAATCAACTGGTTACATGGCAAAATTCAACATAAATCTCAAGTTGGGGCGCTCAAGCCGATCTCAAATTGTATAAAACGTCTATTAATATTTACAAAATACATAAATCTGCTTTTAAAAACGTAATTTTCTTTAGTATAGTACAGTGTACAAAATTTACCTGAAAATTCTTCAGAAACGTGGCTGCTTGGTTGTGCTTCAAAATAGGCCAAGATCTCCGCTGTGTGAGGAAAACCTCGAAGGACAATTTTGTGAAGAACAGCCTTCCTTTGTCCACTAACAGAAACTGCATTCTTTTGAAGTTTTCTTTCCCATCTGTGTCTTTTAACGATATATTTTCAAACCTTGAAATGCGAAACTTTGGTCTTGAATACCACCGCATAGGATGTCTCACTTCTGTCTCCTTTCGACTCACCTCTGAGGATTTTCGCATAGGCCTCACTTCTTCTCGATTCTTCGCTCGGACAACGTGACCTGAAACGCATTGATCGCGCGGAATAATGAGGCCTGGGGACTAGGAAAAATTGTTAAGTGTTCATCCTCTCGGGTGGAGTGTACCCGGAGCTAAGAAAAATATCCTTTAATTTTCTAATTAGCAATTTGTACCTTAAAGTGTGTTAAACGCCACGTACACTTAATGTCAATTTTAATAAGGCTTTAAAATGTTCCCAGGTACATTTTAGTGAGAGTCCTCGTGTGACGGTCATATCATGAACTGGTCAACGGGTTTGAAGTTTTTCAACCCCACACCGGTCTTAATAGGGTTAAGAGAATTAGACCCTGTCTAAAAATATAGCTAAAACAGGGTTTCTCTATTCCTTAACAATTGTCCAAGTACACTCAAAAGTACATGCAGATCCATTTACATTTATTTTATAACATAATCAACGGACAAAAAAAGGTTTACATTTACAGATGGTAAAGCCATTTAAGCTCGCCTAGCTGAAAGTCTAGTGATCCGAAAATTATAGGGATAAAAACTTACCTTCTCGAAAATTTTGGCCAGGAAAAGGCTCTCGAAAATTCTAGGTGGTCTTTTTTAGGGTCAAAATCCGTTAAGAATGGGTAATTATACCATTTTGTAGATGTTGGAAAATCCTAGGAGAGGCAGGCAAGCAAGAAATTTTACAACATATGTTCCGAAAATTCTAGATCTCAAATCGTCTTCCGAACAGATATTTTCCCTAAAATTGCCGTTGGGTGCCCCTGTGCTTATGGTGTGTACAACTAATTTCAGTCCCTCCCTTTGCCAAGACGTTCAGTAAAAATAGATCTTTTTTTTTTCTTGATAAGTAGTTTTCCGTCTCAGGGTACACTCTAAAACATTTTACATGTTATTCTCAAGGGCCTTTGTACATTTCTCTTGAAACTACGATAGTGCAGCCTTGGAAAACCATTAGGTAAAAACATAAAGTCGCGTAATGTTGACGCATACACCTTAAGTACGGTAGCTTTAGTCAGGCCGGTAAGAAGCTTATCATGATCATTCGACTTTGTTCTTCTCCAGAGGAGGTCAGTCGTGGCCATTTTGGGAATAATATTCCACTTTTGGTCAAACATTTTAATTACAGTTTCGTAAAACTGGAATTTCCCTTTGTAGCGCTTCGTTTACATCGCGATACAAAGTTTTCTCAACATTAGTGCGACATTCCCTCGCATCAGTAATTCCATCTTAGTTAGGGAGTAAATTTTGATTGGTTCTCTAAAATACCCCTGAGTTGAAACAGAGTTATACGCTTCAGGGTTATATGCTTCTGGGATGGATTCAATAGATGAAATCTAAATTAGAATCTATAGGACCCGTGATCCGTGCGTTTCTTTGGCCACCGATCGGAAAAAAAAAAGTTTATATGTGAAAATGTGACGCCCACTTCCTGTCGCCGTCTCTGAGGACTCTTTCAACTGGTTTTATTTCTTTTCTCAGATTTAGATCATCATTTCTATAAATTTCGTGACAAAAAAAAATACCTTTAAGAGATCGGATAGTCGTTTTATTATTGTCATTATCATTAACATCGTTAATTTTATTATCACTTATTATCAACAGAATTTCTCACTTCATCGGTTTCCTTCAAAAAATTAAATTTTTGCTGTATTAGACGAGAAAGCGAAGAATATCCAGCGGCATATCTCTATGATTTAGTGCGTAATCTTTGAAGCTGGCTGTTCTAGAATTTGAAACAAGCTTTAAACTGACAATCAATCATCACCGAGGTATAGTATACACCAATACAATGTGGGCATTTTGGTACCTAAGAATAGTAGAAAAAACGTCGACAGCAGGGTATTCGTACTTCATTATGCCGCTGCTGACTTGGCCGCCACTCTTAAGCGGTTAACCACTAGTAGTCGAATCTTTAACTATGTATTATCCTGAGGCGCGCCTTTATCTTTAACTAAATCTTTAAAATATCGTTTGAGAAAAAAGCTTAAAAAGGAAGCATAAGAAACCCATGTTTATCTTAATAATACGCTTGTGTCATCTTCCAGGTTAGACCAATATTTGAAAATAAAAATATAAAGAAGATAGAGAGTCGAGTAGTGGAAACTGCACCAGGTAAGAATATATTCCACCGTATTGCAGCGATGGGAGTTTGTGCGTGAACCACACATTTGGCCAGGGCACCCGTAACTCTTACTCTGAAAGCAAGAGCTTGACCGGCATAATTGCGGGGCACAGGGGTAAGGGATGAAGTTCTCCACCAAAGCCACATTTCTCTATGAGTCTAACAATCCTAAAATCTTTAATTCCTCAAGCTAATTTGCGAGAGTTGATATTCTTCTCAAGGGGATAATTATCCCTGGGGTATGAGGGAGGTGAAAATCCTCAGGGTAATGTGTGAGAGGTGATAATCCTCTTCAGTGGTGATAATTCCCCAGGGTAATTTTTGATAGGTTATAGTCATTTTTTGGCGATTAATAATCTTCCAGGGTAATTGAGGGGTAATTATCCCCCCTAGAGGTAATAATCTTCTTGGTGGTGATAATTTATAATCAACTTTAGGTGGTTGATAATTTTTGATAATTATTGGTTAATTACCGAAAACGAGGTTAATATGTCAAGGCCGAGGTCTGAGATTTTTTTTGTAATGACCGAACGAACGAGGTTAATAAGTTATTTATTATATAGCCTTTTCATTATGGACCTGAGCCTGCAATCAATTAAAACCAATACCTGGCCATGGTTAGCAAATAACTTTAAAAAACACATCACCTCAATGAGCTGTACACTTGAGAGCCCTCGATACAGTCAGGTGATACTGGTCAGCGGATACCCTTTTTGACAGCTGTCAATTGACCATGTAACATTTTCAGTTATTCCTATTCTTATTCTTAATCTTAATCTTACTCTTATTCTTCTTATTCTTATTTTTATTCTTATAACTGTTCCATTCGGGGCCCCGATAGAAGAAAACATAAATAAACTTATGGCAAACACAAAAATGGACCAGATTTTTCTTTTAGGTCTTTCCCATTTAATTAAGGAGCTTTAGAAAACGACGACGGCGACGGCAACGAGGTAGTAAAAAAGCAATAGGTTTGTTAAACAAATAACAATAATAATTTACTTTATTTAGCGTATACCTCTATATGATGATATTCGGTTGCGCTTTACAATATTGTTATATTAAATTTATGTTAAAGGTGACTAAAGCGTAAGAAACTATTAAAATCTACAATAAAAACTATTAAGAAATACAATAAAAGCCAACAATTAAATCTTTTTAAAAGCTATATTAAAAAAATGAGTTTTAACAGCAGTCTTAAAATTGTCCAACGTCTTTATGTTGCAAATTGCCGAAGGTAATGCTTTCCAGAGATAAGGTGCAGCAGACTGAAATGCACGATAGCCAAGAGTTGGTTGCCAGGTAACTCGAGGAATATACTAGACTCATTTGACCTTAGAGAATACCTAGATTGCTTTTTGATAGTAATTAAATCAATTAAATAATTAGGAACTTGACCATATAAGCACTTAAAAGTCAAAAGTAGAATCGTAAAATTTATACGGTAACTTATCGGAAGCCAAGGAAGGTGGAAAAGCAATGGTGTAACATGGCAGAATCTTGGTGTTCCAGTGACCAACCGAGCCGCGGCAGTCTGTATACGCTGGAGTTTCATGATATGTGAATTCGGGAGGCCATATAGTAGACTGTTAAAATAATCAACTCTACTGGTTATAAAAGCATGAACTAATGATTCGGTGGCTGAACGACTTAAATATTTCCTAATTCTACTCTGTTATAAAGATAGTAGAAAGCGGATGAGCAAGTTCTGTTGATATGACTTAGCATACTCATTTTCGAATCAAACCAGGTTCCTAGGTTTCGAACTTCACAAGATGGAACAATTTTGGAGTCCCCGACCGATAAGGTACCGATGTTACTGACTTTCTGGAGTTGTTGTTGCTTTCCAACCAGAAGACATTCTGTCTTATCCGAATTCAGTTTTAACTTATCTGAATGCATCCATTGACTGATATCAGCAATACATGATCCCATGGCAGTCATAGCAACGGCCTCCTCCAAATCATTTCCTTGTCTAAACGTTATTAATATACAGTTGCGTGTCATCTGCATAACAGTGGGGATTAGGAAGATGTGATTCGACGATCTTAAAAAGTTTGCCAGAATAGAGAGAAAACAATAATGGCCCGAGACAGCTTCCTTGTGGAACTCCAAATTCAAGATTAAAATTACTCGATAGAACCCCGCCTATACAGATGCGCTGGGTCTGTTAAAAAAGGTACGATTCAATTTAATTAAGTGCAGAGCCTGAAATTCCAAAATCAAACTGGAGGCGATCTAAGAGAATCCGATGGTCCACGGTATCAAACGCGGCGCTTAAATCAAGAAGAACTAACAACGTGACCTTCTGATTTAACATGTTCATCAAAATGTCATTCTTGACTTTAAGCAGGGCAGTTTCTTTACTATGGTGCTGTCGATAGTCTGATTGCAATGATGTGTTAGAAAGAACGGCGTTACAATTTACAGAAAGGGCCAGGGTCACCTGTTATTGATGTAACAGTTAAGAAAGACAGTTTGTCGGTGTATGTACTTAATTTTTTTCGGAATTTTGGTGGGTCGGTGAGGTGGTCTAGTGGTAAGGGAGAGAGAGTAAGAAACGAAAGGTGCGGTTTGATCCTAGGTTGCAGTTTTCTTTCTTTTGAATAGAAAAAGGTAATCGTCCGTTTACGAAAGGGACAACAGCGTCGCTGTCGTCGATGCTAAAGCTCCATTTTGAGCCTAGAAATCATAACCTATAAATTGGCCGCTACCAAAAAGTATAGTGCTCTAAACATAAGACTTTTAGCTTGCTGGGAGAGTTTTCATTTCGGTTTTTTTTTGGTGATAATTTTTCTTTGTTACCCAGCCCCCTTCCTTCCCCCTTCAAAAGGAGGATTATTTTTGTTGGCTAAGAGTTTATTATATTTGAGTTAATTGCTTATATATAAGTATGTAAACGGAGGCTTCGCTTTTAGTCCTGACTAAATCTATATATTATTCTTATTCTTATCTTATTCTAATTCTTCTTCTCACTTTTTATTCTTATTATTATTCTTACTGCCCTGTAAATTGCTAAATTAAAGAGATTTAGAATCACGTTTTCGGCAAATGCCAAACAAACTGCAAAAGTCACTGCATGACTGACAGTTTCTTAAATTATAGGAACTGACCTGAGTCAATTCACTTTGACTGTGAAGATGACTCGAAGCGTCAGTCATTGTTAGTAACATTCCTATTTAACCCTCCGAAGTTTTTGCGGGGTGGTTGTCTTTTCTGAGTTTTTCCCTGGACAATAAAAAAAGCACCTGACGTTTTCAGTAGCTGTTTGTTTATCCCTCGCACGCATTTTGAGACAAAATCAGTGATGTTCTGTTGCTATGGTCACGAGATATGACGTTATAAGTAGCTGGTGGTCAAGCCATTTTTGAGTGAAAATGAATTTTTTCTCAACTTCTTTCGACAATAACAGGAGGGTATTTGCGTGCGCATGCGTGTATCCGCTGAACGATAATAGTGTGGGCGCATTAAATCTGATGGCGGGAAATCGAAAACTCGCGTAAAGTTATATACACTCCTTTTAAAAGCCATTTTGTTGGTGCTTTGAATACCGTACTTTTCCACAAAAAATGTTCTCCATGACAAAGATTAGAAGGTTTCTAGGCGGGTTTTTAGTTGTAGATTTTTCAGCAGAAAGTTTTCTTGACCTTTTAAAGACTTTAAAGGCTCAACGCCAAAAATCACTGTTCCTGTGTAAGTCCGATTTTCACTGGCAAAGCGATGCATTTCTGTGGTTTGATTTCCAAATTCATAGTTTTTCTTAGGAAGAAAGGCATTGTAGCAAAGTTCAGCTGCTTTAAGAAATGCTAAAAAATGAATTTTTTACTAGGCGAGGCTTATTTATAGCTGGATGTCTCGTGTTAAACTGATCGCGGAGACACGCGTTTATATATGCCACAAAAATGTGGAATCTATGGGGTGTTTTACAGTTTTTGGAAAGTTTTCGCGTAAAATATATAGTAAAACACATTTTACAAGAAATGGAGAATGGATTGAGTCCAAGAGAGCAACAATTACAAGTGATTATGTACTACATAAGCATTTGAGCACAGCCATAAGCTCACTTGCAGACAAAATAAATGCACCCCGAAAAAAAGGAACAATGCTTTTACTTTCTTCACCTCTAAAAGATACAAAGATTCATCTCCAGAAAACAGCCTGCAAATGCTAGTAGTGAACATAAACAATTCACAGAAAATGCTCCTTTGGAACTTCGACAGAGACACATGCACATACAAAATGCCTTCCTGTTCTCAACATTAAAAGTAAAGATTTCTTGCGGTTTTAACCTGATTTTTAATTCTTGGTAAAATCCAAGATGGCAACCATTGTTGGTGACGTCACAGGCCTCCAGTAGCGCCACCAGCCATAGAATGTACCTCATCTTGTTTAGAAGATCAAAGGTTTTCCACTGAAGGCAAAATCGTTTCGAAATACTGCAACATATCAGAAACTCTAGGGAGGGGTTCCATCATCACCCCCCTTTCACTACCACAGTGGGGGTATGAATTCGCGAGTACGTTCGAGGGTTAAAAGTACACTTACTCGGACGTTCAGATTGCACCTACTTACAAAATGTTTAAAAAGCTGACTACAATCATTCCTGTATAGGAACCTGTATTTATAATAAACAGTAAGTGGCGAGTAACGTGAAAACTTTGCCACGTGGTCCAAAGTGGCGTTTGCCTTTTGACGTAACCGTGATTTGTAATAGAGACATCAACATACACCGTTTCTGTGAATGGTACTGGTAGATTACTCGTAGGAGGAATAGGTATTTGGAGGTCCCTAGCTAATTTCTCTATCATCTTTCCCTAACTTTGAATTCCAATACAACGCATTTCCTAGCACCTAAGATGGAGCTGTTAGCAGTTGTGGGGTTGAAGCATGAGGAACTAGTTCCCACTTCCTCTTCCACATTCAGCGCGACTGTAAAATGGGAGAAGCCGCTGTTTACCCAAAGTAATGTTACCCATTACATATATCGTACTACCAAGGCAATCAAGGGGCAGATGGAACGAAGAAGCATTGGTCTCGACATTCAAAATATAACAGTGAGTTCCGGTTTTGTTGCTGAAAGTAAACTGACGACATTTTTTAAACAATTTGACTGTATTTATCACTCATAGTGTCAATATTTTAGAACTTTCAGTGCACTTTTAGCTTAACTGTAAGTAAACAACAACGGCGAACCATTAATGTTCTTTTCATTTTTTTTATTGTCATGTATTGCTTATTCACTTTTATAAAATAACTAAGATATTACGCGCGCTCTGATTGGCCGAGAGGCATCTTTTCATGAGAGTAAGTAAACATGGTTGTGACCTCAAGATGTTTTGCTGGGCGCGTGGTAATCACGCAAGCACAAATTTGATTGAAAAAGGTTTTGTGTTTAAAAACTCCGTCGACAAGTTTACTTTATTTACCCACTTCATCGTCGGCTGAGACTTGGAAAATCTCTAGAAAAATGCTGTGCCTCTTGCTTATTACTACACGACTATATTGCTGCTCACTGATTACTTAGTAACATAACACAGATCTGTCATACAATTATACTACACTTCACTTCACGCTTTTGATTTTTATTTTCTTCTTTGCTTTCTTTTATCTTGCCAGTATGTATAGGTACATCACGGTCTCTGTTTTGACGTTTTAAGATATATTTTCCATAAATGTATTTTTTATTATATTGTTCGTTCAAGGAAAGTTTAGTCTCTCTCGTAAAACGTAATATAGCCCTATTATTTGGTACGAAAATTAAATAACGCCATTGTATGTTTAAAATAAATTAAACGTTTTAAGTAAGACGGTTCAAATGCCTCCGATCGAATTGCTCAACAATGTCCTCGCCTTTGATGACTTATTTTTCAGTGAAAAGGTGTACTAATACACCGAATGCAAATATGGCGGACGTCTCGGCCTGCCCGGGTCTAGTTGCGCGAAAGCGAGGCTAGTGAGGCCTCAAGAGTTTTGTTTTGACTGCGCGCTTTAGCTATTGAGTCGGTCGATATGGTTTCCTTCGAGTTGTTACGTGCCTCAGCGTCACCAAAAAGGAGATTATACTCTAACTTTCCCGAGTTCTTTTCACAAAGAAAGTCAAGGATTCTTGCGTTTTGGCGCGGGGATGAGAAGCACTTTACAGCGAAAACGCAAGTGTGCTCGCTTCACTTGCTTTAGAAGAGAGGACTCACGAAAGTATTTGAAGGAAAGAAGATGGTGCTGTTCCATGATGTTTGCACGGTCTGTTATTCATTCAACAAAAGGTAAACATTCTCGAGAACGGGAGCATCCGCTATCGACTTTAAGATCAGCTACGCTCCTTAATATTTCACGCTGGAAACAGCTACATTAAAATATACTGAATAGTGACGAGTGTGAATGAAACACAACAATAACAGTCGCCTGTTAATCCCACAAGCGTGGCCCGTGATACCATGTAAGAACCAAAAGAAAGCGACATATTTGAAGAACACTCCTTTGATCAAAGTGCACTAAAAAAACTAACAGAGGAACTGTCGCGAACTAAGAAAGTAATAAGAAGAACAAGGTTCTGACAGGGAAAGAGCGTGCAAGTATTCGAGCATTGTGTTGGCCCTTGCGCGTGATCTTTTTTGACAACTTTTCGAAGGGTTTCGAGAAAAACTAAGAGTGGTTTTCCAAAAATTGCTACTTTTATGGCACAGCTCAAACTCTTGAACACAGGATCGTGAAGACTGTGAAAACATTCGACCTCGTGTAAACATTTCATCCACAAAGGTACCGCGACGGCGACGGCGGATTCAATCGTTCTCGAGAATTTTTACTTTTCCTCGGTAAGAGAACGGACAAAGCTAACTGGAAACAGAACCTCAGGATTCTCCCATTCAAATAGTTCGTGAGGTCTTCTCTATTGAAGTGAAGCGAGAACACTTTCGTTCTTTTAACTCTGTAATAGTATTAAAAGTGCTTCCATTCGCTTCGCGGATTAGCTTGAATCCATTTCTTTCTTCGTAAAGAACCTTGGCAAAGGGAAGATAATGAAATTTCGTTTCTGCTGGAGTTAAATCTCCTCTTTGATTGCTCTTGAGCACGTAACAACTCGAAGGAAACCGTATCGATCGACTCAAGGGCTAAGACGCGCAGTCAAAACAAAACTCTTGAGGCCTCAATAGCCTCGCTTTCGGGCAACTAGACCCGGGCAAGCCGAGAGGTCCGCCATATTTGCATTCGGTGTATTCTTCCTTTCTTTCGTAGCGTGTCGAGGTATTGTTCATGTATTTCGTTTTTTGTTTTTTAAGTCAATAAAACTATTTCGAGAATGGCGACCCAAAAATCTACCCTTCTATCGTCATTCGATTTCTTTGCTCCTCCAATTTTGTTAGAAAATGTTCAAGTTAATTTCAATGCCACTTTTTCACCCTATATAGAAGAGAAGTGATGACGTCACGAAAATCAAATTTGTGAACTAATGGGATTGGTTGGCATATCCAGAAAGCACAAGATGGAACATATTGCCTCGTTAAAAGTCATACTTTTTATGCTAATTCGTGTTATAAAGCAGATTAACAAAAAAAGTTTCTCTAACAGTTTGCTTTTCTTTATATCCTTCACATTAATATTCTTAACAGACAGAAACCAGTGTCACTATAGATGAAATTTACCTAAATGAGAAGATAGAATTTCAGGTGAGTGACTTGAGGTGTTGTTTGTGGTTAAAAGATGGTCCATGTTTTTGAGTAACTAAGCAGCTTTGATTCTTAAATCTTGCAGTGAAATTTGGCAGTGAGCCAACCTATTTGAAAGCGTCTTAATTTGAATAAAACTAGGACTTTTTTCCCATTTTCCTGCTACTTGCAATTATTTTGTTATTACTTAACTAATTTGTTTATTCATCTGATTTTCTTGTATAGTTCTTACAATTTGATAGCCGTTGCATGGCCCCACTTCCAATATCTACATAATCTCCTCGGACAACTTTTATAAGTCGCCTCCACCCTCAAATGATTTTGAACCTCTCTAAAACGGCCACCTTGGGGACAGAAGAAAGTTTCCATTGTAGAGAGGTGGCCGTTGTAGATAGGTTGAAACAAGAGTCAATGTATGGACTGTCCGCTAAAAAAGTGGCCGCTGTAGAGAGGTGGACGTTGTAGATAGGTTGAAACAAGAGTCAATGTATGGTCTGTCCGCTAAAAAAGTGGCCGCTGTAGAGAGGTGGACGTTGTGAAGGTGGCCATTAGAGGAGGTTGGACTGTAGTGCATTCTTTTACCATAAATTAACGTACAAACGAGTGTCACTCGGTTTCGAATATCGTTCCGTACTAAGCGAGTTATGTTCAGATTTAAGTAAAAAACCCTTTTATCTGAGAAAATTAGGTAAGAAATAAAACAGGACAAAAGCATCGTCAAATTAAACATCTCTAAAGCCATTGGCAAAGCCGTTAACTATCTCCATGAAAACTCTCAAAGATCGTTTTTTATACATTATTGAATCAAAGGCCGTTCTCTGCATAAGTCTCTCGATGCCAATAAAACAGTAATTGACTTATACAACTCATCCTATCCGGTGTACTGTACAGCGCTGGAAACATTGACATGCTGTCAACTGAAGATCTTGTTCACCTTCAAATTAAAAAAGAGGCTTATTACAGCACCTGACAATGACGTGGCTGCATTATTCGAGGTTGGCTTTCTACAACAATCCATTTAGTGGGCAAGAAACAAGTGTTCGTTTTATCATTAACGGCTGGAATTTAAAGTAAATGTAAGGGCTTCCCCCAGGGACAAAGAAAACTGTCGTTCCGTTATAATGAGGCGTACGTATCAAGCGGGTTCTACGGTAGTTACCGTAGTAACCGTCGTTACATTGCACGTACCAAGAGTTTCACAACCTAGACAGCGGGGCAAAATATTGTCACTAAAATATTATAGTACTATTTAATTTTAACACGAGAAATGACTAGGAAAATGTCTACATTCCCTTAGCTACCTTAAGACTCTAAAGTACTTTCCCCTCCCCCCTTTTCCAGTGACACACCTCACAGTTTTCTGTCCCCATGATTCAAGTAGCCTATAAAACCATGTATAATGAACATACCTAAAGGCCACTTTCCTTAATTCGTATCCTTAGCGAAAAGGTATGTAGACTACTAACTAAAACACATTACGACCATTAAGAAAATTGCAGTTGTTATTATTATAGTGGATGTCAACTTTATCTTTGAGTTTCCCTAACTTACAATTATTGTTCTTTTGATCATGAGAAGCTATATCAAAAACTCCCCTCAGTTTTTCATCTGATATCCAGACACCTCGAAGTCGGTCTTAAAAAACTTGGCTGCTCGTCGTTTTTCAACCCACTTCTTGGTTTTTGGATATCGGATAAAACACTGCGTGTCGTTTTTGATATATTACATAAAGTTTGTGTTTCTTCTTTTCGTTGTCAGGTCACTCCTGTGTTCGACGCGCGCGCCATAACGGGGGCTACTACAAAAATTTCAGTTGTTGGGACAGAACCAAGTAAAATAGTTGTTAATATATGTTATATTAAACAATCAGCTAAACAGAGGAAACATGAAACAAAAACCAAAACAAAATGATTTTATTTGACTTCCAGGAAGATCCAAGTTGTCAGCATGCTTAGACAATCCGGTCTGGTTTGCAGTCTCCAAGCTGTTAAAGTAGCGATGACTTTAGCCTGACTATAGTGTGAATGGTTCGGAAGCCGAATTAACTGGACAGTCGATCTTTTGTAGAAGCGGTCGACTTTTATTACAAACTTGAATAGTACAATATTAAGATGGAAACAATGGTAAATTTATCAGATTATAAAATATACAAAACGTTTTTTTAGGTATAATGGTGAAACTGGCCTGTTCGCTTTATTTTAGTCGGAAATTTGCTTTTGTTCGCCTTATTAGTCTTTTGTGCGAGAGTGAAATTACAAGGTGACCCTTAGAAAAACTCCTTCGAAGTATTTTTCCTTCGTATACAGTTGAAAGGTTGCCTAAATGAGCTTTGAATTCATTTTAAGCCAATATAGAAAAGTTTCCTCCAGTTCCTTATAATCAGTTCTTATGGGTTTAATTGCTTTTGATTGTCTAAGCACTTTTGAACCCTCTCTATTTTAGATACCAGGCTTCATTTGTCTCAAAAAGATCGTTTCCTCGGGTATCAAAACTATTAGATATTTGATTAATATGGTATATTTAAGTTTCAGATGTCATTGCCGCAACAAGAGAAGTAACAAAAAAGCAAAACATTAATGCATAGCACTTTATGGTGTATTAATTTCCCGTCCCTGTGCTACGGCTAAGACGTAAAATTTTCTTTAAGCTCTTAGACCGTTAAAGTTTCAAAAACTTTAAGTTCAGTCTATAGTAAACTCTCCTAACTGATACATCTAAAATAGGTGTTCCTAGCCCTTTCCAGAAGGTTTATCTTAAATTCAACATTGGCTTAAATTTCATTCTTTCAAAAATGTAGCTTTTGCATTTTTGTACTGTTACCAGTCCATATAAAAATCCACCTAACTTACTAAAGGCTTGGTTACCAATGGTGGCATTGGCAATTAAAAATGGTATTCCTTGTCTACAAAAGGGAAAAAGGTATTGCCGTATTGGTATTTTAATCTCCCTAGTTGCTGTTGGTTTATTTTATTATTCTTTCTTTCTTCCTTTCTTTATTTTTTTTCCATACTAGAGGTAGATGCGCATCGTAGCATGGTTTCAATGACGCCCGCTGAAATTGCTGGACTTGTAATTGGTTTTCTTCTCGCGGCTCTTATTTGCATGATCTTTACTTGGCATCGCTGGAGAGAACATAAGGTTCTAAGGTAAAGAATTCTGCTGCGTTAGGTACCTCTAACTAGACTGAGGCTTGAATATAACTCAACCCAACTCAAGAACCGGGTAATTGTATAGGCTCCAGCAAGACAGGGAAACATACACGTTCTTTCTTTGTTTTTGTTTGTTTGTTTGTTAGTTTTTATTCCTTTTATGCACTATAAATTGTCTGTCGCTAAAATAAAAATTCAATCTTTTCAGTCCTAAGCGGAAAAAGGGGGTTGGTGTGGTGATGGATCACTGAAAGTAAGGTCACGTAATTGTGCAAGTAAAATAAAAAAGTAGTTATAGTGTGGGGTAAGTAAAACATTGTCTTTCGTGCTAAAAAGAACTAGTTTGCCTTCGCCCTCATTAATTTGCACGATTTGCCCGCCAAAAATCAGTGAACCGGAACTAGAACAATCACAGCAGCATTAAATAGAAGTTGCATAATTACGTTCAGTCTCAGTGATTTTAAGTCGCAGACAAGTTTGACTTGACTCCTCAGACACCATGAATTAACCCATGAAAACGTTTCTTATTTTCTAACTAACCAATCGAAAACGAAGACGTTTATCGACCTTAAAGTAACTAGAAAACCTAAACCAACTAAAAATAGCACACGACCTTATCTTAATGAGATTTCTGCGCATTTTACTCATGAGATCAAGACAAAAGGTTATGACGTCATCGGCGTTAATGTATTCCTGTGCAAGTTAATGAAATTCCTGCGCAAAAAAGTGGAGTAAAACATCCCGCCCCCACTACTGCCTTATTACTATACTATTATTAATATTATTATTATTATTATTATTACTATCATCATTATTTTTGCCTACCATGACCTTTTGAGCTTGTTTTGTACAAGGTCCGCTAATACGATTGACTGAACAGAAAAACCAAAAATTTCCTCAAACTAAATCATTTATTTGGCTAAACGACCTTAACTAGCATCTCGTGGCTTGATCTTACTTCACTTTCGAGGCTTTTAAAATGTATCTTCACCCTTCAGTGCGCTGAGAACCACCAATAGCTGGCTTTCCTAGGGAATTTATGGCGCGCAGCGTACGGGTGTTTTATAAGGTTCGTAAAACTCTGAATAACTCAATAAAAGATAATCGAATCACTGTTTTACAATATGGGACTAATGTAACGTTTTTGACACTTTTTACTACCTCTATTTTTGAGAAGCGTCAAAAATTAAATATTTCTTTTGCTGCTAGTGAAACGCAAAATTGTTGTTAGTGAACTCGTGATGAGACCCCCCTTTCCCCCCCCCCCCCCATCCCTGTGAAACTCACGAGTGACGTGAAACAATGACTACAACGAAGCCACTGAGAAGACAACACAATATAGTAAAGGAAAATAATGGCTAGAAAACAAAGAAAAACTTCAAAAGCTTTTACACCGAGGTAAACTCCTTATTAACCTTTGGTTACTACTAGTATGTAAACCAGTTAAATTCTTACCTCTTCGTTTTTCACAGGAAAAATGGGTTGATTATTGATCATTGGGAGGTAGATGGGGACCTTGTGACCCTTGAAGATGAGATTGGAGAGGGAGCCTTTGGTAAGGTGTACAAGGGAACTCTGGTCAAACCAACCAACGTTTCACCCCAGAAGTTTTGTTTGAAGCCGTGGAAGAAAACTGTTAAGACTATCAGCGGAAGTGAAACATACGTGGTTGCGGTAAAAATGCTTCACAGTGAGTAAAATTAATATCCTGATATTAAAAATATAGAGATGTTATATTTAACAATTATTCCACGAGTGCGCGTTGGATATGAGATGGTAGTTAGCCAACAAGGTGCGTAGCTCCGAGTTGGCTATAATCATCTCATATCGAACGAGCGCGAGTGGAATAATTGTTTTATTAAAAACGCCCACAAAATATCGAGAGTTCTCCCCGACTTTATTTTTAAAAAATAATCGATTTTCAGGTTGTTTTTAATTTTGATCAGACGCGTACAGAGAGACCATGGTATAATGGCTCATGTACCATGATGGCTAAGCCAATCAGAGCTCTAGAATTGCATTATCTAACGACTCAGTTTTTATTAAATACTGTTAATGCGCTAGTTGAAAGAACGTCACTTTCATTCTATAGAATACTTTCCTTGGACATTGAATGCGGATTTTTTTTTCTTTTTGTTTTAGCTTTGCCAGATGAAGTTGTACGCCAAGACTTTCTGGAAGAAATTCAACTAATGAAAGCAGTGGGTTCGCACAAGAATATTGTTAATATGGTCGGCTGCTGCACTGTGGAGGAACCCGTGTTTTTGTTAGTTGAATATGCTCCGTACGGAGATCTTCTGCATTACCTCAGAAAACATAGGAAAACGGTATTGGTGTACTATTTCCATTTATTTAAGTTTCGGAGAAGCATTATGCTATTCCGCGGGGAGGGGAGTGGATACTCTCTTAGTTGAAAGACACAATTCTAGAATGTTTAACACAGTGTTCTTAATAAATTTTGTTGAACCGTCTCATATATAAGGCTTCAGGAAAACAAATAAACAAAATCAAATAAAACTTTCTTACGGGATTTTTTTCCTCTTGAACACTGATGTTCTTCTCTAAGTCTGGGCTTAAATGTTATAAGTTCTTTCATCTTCAGCATAACAGAGTTTAGGGGTTAAATGTATCTGCTTGGTGGTAAGGCAATATTTGCAAAAGGGCAATGCGAAGAGTAGCGGTGGTAACAACCTACTCCTTCCCTCGCGTTTAGGAGAAAGGGCAGGAGAGAACCTGGGGTATGAGATTGTAGCAGAGTTGAGCAGGACATTCTCTCCATTCGCCACTTTTGCATTGCCCATAATGCACTTTGTTTCTTTTGGGACCACTGTTACAACTGGGAGAAATTAGAAAATAAAATTCTTTTTAAAACTTTATGGGTGATCCGAATGTAAAAACTGAACCGAACTCATGTCCTTACAAATTACTGGTTGCATGTAGCTCCATCACAAGGCTTCAGAGAGCGGCATGATTTAGCAAACAATTATGGGTCTTCAAATAATTTAATTTTGTACTATCGCTACAAAGTCCTGGTTAAATGACACAGATTCCTTTAGTATTGCCCAGTTCTCTGTGACTGGTTTTATCTTCAAGAATTTTCCTAGACAATCGCAAAACCGTGGTGGTAGAACTGGGATTATGTTCCGAAACTCGTTCAACGTTTCACTAGTTGATGGAAAGGGAAACAAGTCCTTGGAATTTTCTGATTAGATTGTTAAAGTGCAAGACTGAGATATTTAATAGTGTATCAACCTCCCTCTTCTTCGTTACATCCTGTTTCTACCTCTGTTTTCTTCGATAATTCCTTCAATTTTTAGAGAAAATTGGAGAACCGCTGTTGTTATCCCTCTGTTGAAAAAACTTGGACTTGATTTCGTCTTCACAAGTTCCCGTCCAGTCAGCAATCTTTCATTCATTTCTAAGGTAATGGAAAAGGCTGCTCTTGACAAATTCTCATCCACTGTGAAAAAATGCCCCTCTTCCTAAATTTCAGTCCGGCTTCCATACGTATCACTCGACGGAGATTGCTCTTAACAAAGTTTCAAAACGACATCTTAATAAGTATGGATAATAACAAAGTAACACTTCTTGTACTCTTGGACCTTAGTCCTGCCTTTGACACTATTGAGCACTACATTCTTCTGAATATTTAGCAACAGGAGTTTGAAGTCGTCGGGACTGCTCTGAATTGGTTCTCATTAATGCTAGGTCCCAAACAATGTATAATTGTTGTTGACTTCTGATGACTTAAATCTGAACTGTGGCGTACACCAGGGCAGTTGTACGGGGCCTATTTTATTTACTGTTTACGTCTCTCGCTTTTTTGAACACTATTCACAGGACCTCCCTTCTGTCAATGGTAATGCTGATGAAACAGATTTGCCTCTCCTTCCGACCTGCCTCTAACGATTCGAAATTAACGCTGTCTCCGTGATTGAGAAGTGCAGCTGATGTTTGCTCTTGGTTTATTGCTAATCGTTTAATGATCAATGACATGAATGTTTAATAATTGGCCCTTGTTAAGAACTTGAAAAAGAAAAACAGCTGTTGAATCTGTTGTCATTGGTGACACCGTCATTAAACCTAGAAAGCGTCCGGAACGTTGGGTCCTGGTTCTATGCTCATATGCGGATGAATGTTCATATAGGCCAGATTTGTAGCAGGGCTTTTCGCGGGCTTTACAACATTATTTTTCAAAATTGCAAAATTTGATCGATCTTCAACTTCTTTTCCATCGGCAACAGCAACTGGGTTAGGGAAGTTTAACTACAACTGTAGATCCAGCTCCTCTGCCTACTTCTTAGCATCTTTAATGATGGAGTGGCGTCCATTTTGTACGGCTAGCTCTTCAAACGATCTTACGGCTGCTATCGTAGGGTCAGCGTTGCAATAAAGCTTTACTGTTGCTTTGATCTTAGTGTTCTTGTATTCATTCTCCACGGACTTGAGACCTCTTCCACCGAGCTTCCTAGGGCCTCTTCATATGAGCCCTGTTGACCGGGCTGGCTCGGTTACCGGGATGAATTTTGCCTTGAGTTCATATGAGAAATTTCAGCCCGGTTTCCGAGATGAGAAAAAGTCAAAGATCCTGGCACCAAATTTGGGAAACAAAGCAAACATAGCGAAACACAAAAATTTTAACTTTTGGGCCTATCTTAGCATCGGTAACTCTTAAAGCTGTATCACTGCAGTTAAATGGGATGCTTATGATGTGGAAAAGACAGCAGGCAATGTAAGACGATGCCATTCGGACCGCCAGAATTCATCCCACCGTTCATTCCAGTAACCAGGATGAAGTGTTCATATGGCAAAATTTCCAGCCCGCTTACCGAGATCTCGGTTGGAAAAACCGAGATCTCGGGAACCCAGCCAGCCCGCCCTCTTATATGAACACATCGAAAATTTTACAAAGGATTTAGAGGTGAGGCGAGATCTCGGAAACCGGGCTCATATGAAGAGGCCCCTAGACATGTAGAGTATCGCTGTCGACACCTTCGGGTAATTTCCTCCATTTTCCACGATGATCGTTCTTCCCTCTCGGTCAAGCTGTTGGATGTTTGCTATCGGCCAAGTTTGTGTCCACATCAAGTATGTAAGTACTGGTAAAGCGTACTTATTGGACGCCACTGCCTTTGCATGATCTGACAATGGGCTGGACCAGATAATTGATAGCCTCTGTAACTATGTCTTTGCTGCGGCTTCCAGTACTTGCTTATCCTCTTGCTTGGTGTTTTCGAAGACGCCCAGGAACTTTATAGGTGTTATGTTGGTCCAGGCTCTTGATAGGTTTAAGATCAGCTATCTTCATATCTCCACTTCCTTGCTCGACCTGTCCCCTATTCACGTGTATCACTGCACACTTCTTCTCATTCCACTTCAAACGGGTGATTTCCAATCCATTGTTCTTTTTCTCCTTCTCCTTCTTCTTCTCCTTCTTTTTCTTCTCCTACTTCTCCTTCTTCTTCTTCTTCTTCTTCTTCTTTTCTTCTTCTTATTATTTAATTATACGTCTTGAATGGTACCTAGTACCCAAGTTTAACTTTATGTCAGCTGTTTTAACCAATCTTCCTCTTCGGAATGTGACTTTTGCTCATTTTTCAAGCCAAAAGTCCATTTAATAGGTACTACTAAACATCCTAACCGTGCTCAAGATACCCGTTTGGTGTTCATCTTTTTTGGCAAATGTCTTGGAAGCGTCAACCTCGTTTTTATTTCTCCTAGGTAATACAGTCGTCCGAAAAGACATTTTAAAAAATGCTTATCATGCAAAATTTTGGCAAACAAGGTGTGTTATAGGTGATAAGAATATTAATGAAATGACGAATACGTTAATTTTTGAGATCCTTTATTTTACTTTTCTTTTAGGCCTGTAAAGACAAACGTATCTGTTTCAATACTCCAATGTCAAAAGCAGAGCTTGGCTGTTCAAACACTTTCACTACACCTGAGGATCAGATTGAAACTAGCTTGAATACTGAAGAGGAGGAAAAAGAAGACTGCAACGAGGATATTTTGACTCCTGGAAATCTAATGGCGTTTGCATGGCACATCTGCCAAGGCATGGTAAGTAAGACAGCAGTCAATTTTTCGTCCAGTTTCGAAACTTACTTTCCTGAAAAAATAGTGCTTCATTGAAGAAAAACCGCCATACTTCGCCTCCTGGGTAGCTTTAACGATTTTGGTTCCGCATTGTGGAGTTCTAGGCTTAAGTGTGATTCCCGGCCGACTAACACTCAGGGTCTATAAATAACTGAAGAGAAACTGCAAATTTTTTCTCTGACATCTTCAAATGCTTGAAAACGTTTTGTAGTCTTCGGGGATATTCTACAGTATAACGATAAACTCAGGGTCCTTTCACGCGGTCGCTCCACGTAATTTGACTTTACAGGACGTTTTAAATTTCTTACAGAATTTTTTTTCCTTGTGTAAGGAATACCTGGCAAGAAACGGATATGTTCATCGCGATTTGGCGGCTAGAAATGTACTTATTGGAGAAAAGAAAATTGCAAAAGTGTCAGACTTTGGACTGAGTCGCCACGTGTATGAAGAGAAAGTTTACCACTGCAAACGAAACAAGAAACTTCCCTTCAAATGGATGTCAACAGAAGCCATCTTTGACCACACATTTACGACGAAGAGCGATGTGTAAGATTACCTGTTCAATTGATGCATAACTAAACACAGCGCTGTTTGTAAATAAACAAAACAAAAAACTAATTCATATACAATTTCAACGCAAAGTTCACATGAATCAAATTCTTAAATAGAGCTAGCTTATACCCTGCTAACAGGAGTTTTCTTTTCGGTAAATGGTTTTTAGCTTTTACGAAGTAGTTCGCGCCGATGGAATTCGCGTAGTTGGCTTGTTTACCGACTCCGCATATGCTTAAAGTTATGCCGGACAGAAACCATAGTAGTATACTATGGAGAAGAGCTCATTACTTTGCGATCAATTGCATAAAGGTCGATGACGTCGCAGCCTTTTGCCTTTAACTCGTGTATAAAATGCGGTGAAATGTCATTTAGATAAGGTCATTTACCTGCTGTGTAGAAGGTTTTAAGCCTCGTTAGACAGGTTTTCTAAATAATAATAGGTCGATGAATGTCTGGCTTTAAGATTGACAAAAAGCTAAGAAAAGCATCCCTTATTCGTGACGTAATACAATAACCCAAGTTTAATTTCCTGCCGCTTTCATTATCCATCGCAGACAATGTATTTTCCAGCTCCCGTCATACGGTTTTCTGGCTGTGCCTTCGAAGTTAAAAACACGGTTTTTAAAGCAGTACCCGGTGCATTATGATAGTCCTGTGATGGACTTAATCATCCTTACTTATTCACATAAAGGAATAAAGGCAGGTAACAGTAAAAAGGCATGCACCGTCAGTAGTATAGGGTGCACCGGTAAGGCCCCTTTTTTGCACAGGAATCTCATTAGCTTGCGCAGGAATACATTAACTAGGTGACGTCGTAGGCTATTGTCTTGATCTCATGAATAAAATGCAAATTTTTTTACCCCGTTTCCCTCCACCACCACCACCAACGCCACATTTCTATTGTTTTCTCTCCACCACCACCGCCACATTTCCATTGTTTTGCCTCCTCCTCCACCTCCTCCTCCTCCTCCTCCTCATTTTTATTGTTTTCCCTCCTCCTCCTCCTTTTTTATTGTTTATTGGGAAAACAATGGAAATGTGGCGGTGGTGGTGGAGAGAAAACAATAGAAATCCTTTTATTCCTTTATGACGTCACCTAGTTAATGTTTTCCTTCGCACGCTAATGAGATTCCTGCGCAAAAAAGAGGCCTGACCGGTGCATCCTATACTACTACCGTCCGTCCCAATTATTACGCACTAGGACGAGAGAGGAAAGAAGACCGCAAACCTTGTGACAAGCGTGACAATAATTTTGTTTGAAAAACTTTTCGCCAAATTAAACCTTCCTTTGAACAAATCTTTTTGTAAAAGACCAGGAAACATTAATGATAAGATATAACATTAGCTCGCTAGCTAGCCACTTTAAAATTCAAGTGAAACTAAAGTTTATGTTATGCTGTTGTAATGATAACTAAAGGGAAGACCACATCAAAACTCCCAATCAATAGCCCTGTTACGTTTGTCACACACAAGCGCTTGCTTTTGGCTGTCCTCTTCTTCCTGGCGTCCTGTTGCGTAATCTCACTATAATAAGCAATAGGTAAGGAAGATGCCAGTTTGTTTGGTTTTTTTTTTAATGAAAATTTAAGTCTTTCTCGTATTTCTTATAGATGGGCCTTTGGAGTGGTACTTTGGGAAATAGCTACTCTAGGTACGCTAACATGTACAGTTGTAAACAACAATGAGTAAACAGAGCGTTCGCGCCAAGAATTAAATTGACGGCATGGTAGCCATTTCATCCTTCAACTGTTTTTTTACCATGCTAAATAAACGCGTGCAACGTGGTATTGGCCAACTTCGCAAATGATCAATTTTAGTTATGGGCAAAATCATCTCAGCCATTTTTAGAGGAACTGCATAGGGGACACTGCTGACAACTACCCTGATGTGATGATATCGTCAGAAAAGATACATAAGCAGCAGTTGTACCTCTCAAGTGCAAACTCTGCATGAGATCTGGGAAAAAATTGTCTTTAAAAAAAAAGAATTCTAAAAATGGCTTTTCGGTGTTTTTCGCCAAATGCTCAGTTTTCTCTGAAAAAAGAATGGCAAGTCCGACCTGTTTTTCTATTGATTGGATTTTAATAGTCCTTTGTGTGATCCACTTTTCCTACAAAGTTATAGTAGGCTAACAAAAAGACGTTTTTGAGCGACGTACGTCAACCGGGAGTGCTCTTTTTTACATTTGTGGGCAGCACTCTCGCTCAGATCTAGGGAAAACCCTCTCTACAAGACAGTGTGAAGACACTAAGCAATACAAATCTGGTAGCGTCAAGGTTTTTATGGGAAAAAAGGTCCCTAATATCTGGGGAAATACTTCCCTGTCATCAATGGGCACAAGCCGTCCTTAATACTTCTTTCTGAATCACCATATCAGGTGGGACGCCATACCCTACTATAGAAAGCGAAGAATTGTTTCGGCTGCTAAAGAATGGGTACAGAATGGAAAAACCAGACACTTGCAATGAAGAGCTGTAAGTAATGACATTGATAATGAAGATATTGAACTTAAATAACCATTCCGTTACCAACAGCTACTAGTGGATTCTCTCTTTACTGAGTAAATTTCTTTTATTCTTTTTTTACAGCTACAAAATGATGCAGGACTGTTGGCAGGATAGCCCTGAAAACCGTCCCACCTTCACTCAGATCCTTGAGAGCCTGGAGACCATTATGCAAAAGGAAAATCCATATCTCTACCTGACTGCCGCGGACGAATCGCAGGCCGAATACAACGTACGGTCTTTTGACAATATGGCGAAGGAGTCCGATGATGATCAAAGAGAAGACAATGTTGAAGTAGTGTGCCACGAAGGTATGCAGCATGACTGAATTTCCATTCGCTAGAACCGACTTAATGCACCTTGCTTTCAATAAATTGAATATTCCCTTTTTTCAGAGGTAGTTGGAGACACAGAGGAAAACATTACGAAAAGTTGTCCTCAGCCCAACAATCTTTCATTGGATATCAGCACCAAAACTGAAACCGAGATGGGAAAAGGAAGTTATGATAGTGCAAAGAACCATCAAGATCAACAAACCTACGTGCTTAATTTGAAAACACTGGAAACACGTTTCTGAGGACTTTATAGTACTATTTATCCACTAGATAAATCAATATCCTTTGGTTAATTGTTACGAAAACCATTGCCAGGCTTTATCAAGCTAGTGATTCACCCATTAATAGACGAGGCTATCTACAAGACAGAATTAAGAATGTATCGTTTTATATCATTATTAAAGAAAAGGCTCCCCAATGTAATTGAACAGTTTCCGGACACAAACAGCTGATCATAGACGATGAACAAGGTATCCCGTTAATAACGTGTACCAGAGCGCATGTCAGTTTAGCAATAATTCATTTCCACAAAATGTTTATACCCCTGATACCTGGATTTTTGAAAACCGGTTTAGCAAAAAAAAAATCAACTCATTCCACTTTTTGGCAATTTAAGACAATCAAATATCAATCAAATACTGCTTAAAAGCCTTTATCTGAAGCCAGGCAATAAGTTAGTGACCCCTAGTAGCATTTCGCCAAGTCCAATTTTAAAATGACGCAAATTTTAGAACATTTATTCACTAATCTGACTACGTGAAGTTTCAAACTGGTGTCATCTCAGTCCCATTTTTAAGTTAAGTGAAATGCATAACAATTTAAAAAGCTAGCAAAACACTACTATTTTCTCGGGCCAATAAATGACAGGATTTTGCATGGAATAGGCCACTTGCACTAAGAGGTCACGTGACCAATGCTTCCTTTAAATAATGAGTTGGAACCTTGCTGATGCCAAAAATTGATAGAGCACAAAAAATTATCTTACACCTAAAATTTGAGAGGAAACGCATTTAAGGGAGATATTTTATGGCACTTTGATTTTTCAACAAAGTAGTATGATTTGTATTGGCCGCCATGTTGGAGGGCATACTCTTGCCCTCCAACATGGCGGACAAACCTACTTTTTGCTTATATCTTGTTAAACGTTTGATAGTTTCGTTCAGATGTGCTGTAAACGTTACTACATCATCTTTTCAACATTTTCCTTGAAGATAAGTGCAAAATTTGAATTCAAAAAGAAATAATTCAAAATTTTAAAAATCACATTTTGGTCAAGTGACCAGCCACGAACTTACTCATTTTAAGAAAATGGTGCTGGTTTGAAAAACCAGATCACTATTATTTTGTTTAAGATATGACCCACTAATCGTTTTTTGAAGGAAAAATCAGATAACTTTCATTTTCATAAAAACGATGTCACATGACCTCTTAGTGCAAATAGCCTATAGACAACAAACATTGAGATAACATAAATACAAAGGTTGTCACCTTCTGATCTGCAACACCGGTCCGGCACCGTCTCAGCCTCGCTTTCAAACTAACGACCGCGCAACTGTGAGGGTCAGGTTTACCGCACTCGAACCCCTACACACATTTAACCTTCTGTTATCAGTAAAACGTGGATAACTAAAACTTCGATTTAGGAATCTGTTTAGGTCACATGCATGCTATGAATCAATATTCTTTGACCAAAATGTCGTTATATATTGCAGCCGAAAACGTGCGAACCATATTAAGGCGTTAAAGTAGGTTATATCGGCCTTCCCGCAGGTTATTGTTATTACATACTAACTTTTAAACAATCTCCAAATTGTGAATTATTATGTAACGAAAGTAGAATAATGCATGCCAAAGCTGATAAGAATATTGATTTCATTCTCTCTTTAAGTGGTGACTAAGATAACATCAGACTACCGCTCACTGGTCTCAACATTATCAAGGCGCACAGAGAGGCCTTTTCCGAGTAAAGCGGACTTTTGTTTGCATGCGAGTGAAAACTCATCAGTAAATAATTCTGAAATTGTATCGAAGAAAAAAATGCTTTCTGCTGAATTCAGCAGATAAGGTCAATTGTCCCTCCAGTAGCATTTAAATGTATTGGACGAGGCCCAGTATTGCAAACTTCAATATTGAGGGGGCAAACTGCACCAAAATTAAGGTTAAAGAAAGCTAACGAATCTTCAAAATCGGGCTGCTCACGTATTGTGACCTTTTCAATTCCTTACATTTGACGGCGTTGGCGCGTGGGTTATCTGCAATCAATACACGTCGACTTTTACTATAATTTCATTTTGACTACAACTATAAGATTTCATTTAGAGTCATTTTTTTTTAAATTTATTTCTCCCCAAAATAGCCTTAAAAACAGTAGCGGTACTTTGCAAAAGAAAACAACAGACTCAAGTATTCTAACATACTATAGGTAATTACAGTAAAATGCTGTAAAATGTCGTATTGAAATTAAAGGAATAAATATTAATTTAGATATTAATTAGCTCTACTTTCAGAAAGCTGTATTGTTGTTGCCCTATATACTCTAAATTTGTAAATCAAAGAGATTCTGACCTCTTTCGTGTTTAAAAAAAACGCACGCTTAACGCGCTTCCGTAAATAGTCTAATCTCAAACGAATTGAAGGCTCGTGATTTACAAGCTTTTCGAGTGTTCTCCCAACATCCCCCCTGGGTTATCACGCCGGTAAACCCATAGAAAGTGTGGTCTATTGCTTTTATAAAATAACTTTAAGTTTTCTATGAGTTTACCGGCACAATAAACCATAGTTTTTTAACCAATCAGAACGCGTGTACTATCGTATTTATTTTATAAATGCTACTGGTCGCTTAAACAGGGATTAATATCAGTAGGAACTCTTAACTCCCGATTCTCATTAGCGAGGTTCAGTGAGTCGGATAAAAAAAAATTCTGTCCTCTGTACTCCCTGAATTTGAGGTTTAACAAAACGTAAGTATTCATTTAACATAGCAACTACCAATACGTTACTGTAACATTGAAAACGCTAAGAAATAGTCCTGCGTGTACACAGTCATACTTTTTTCAAATACTCGTCCACAAATATTCTGTATCGCAGAGCTTTAATATCCAATTTTAGTTAGGTCTAGTTTCACCTTCCGTGACAGAGTTTTTTTCGTGTGTTGGGTCTTCGTGATTTAAGAGTCATCTCGCGTCGCTCGAGAGCTCTTTCAGTCTCTTATTGTTCCGTTTTTACGACTGATCAAGCTCTCCGAAGTAGTCCTTTGAATTAAGAAATTAAGAAGGCCTATATTTTCTCAACCTTAAAATTTGATTCGTTAAGATCTACCGCAGTTTTGTGGGGGGACTTTCATTGATGAAAGTCGCCTGATTTCAATGAATCGTTTCGCTGAAAGTCAGCACATATGCAATAATTTTACTTGTCATTATTCCAATTTTTGTTGGTTTCACTTTTTTCTACTCAAACTTGTTCCTCTTTTAATCATAAGTAAGAAAATAATTCCACAATTTCCTTGAATAGCAATATAGGTACTTGTCACAAGGCAAGGTTTTTCTGGTGCACATGTGAAAACAGCTTATTGCGGTTTATAGAGCATAAAACGAACCAGATCAACTAGTAGTATTCATTTTGTTGGCTTGTGTTTATTTTTCCATTCATTTTAAGTTTATATCGCCTTTACCGTGCCTTTTTAGTACGTGTCTCCTCTAAATTACAAAAATACAGTCGAACCTTGCCCGCCCAGATTGCTAAGCATTGGCCTAGTAGGATTTGTCAACAGAGAGCCACAATTTGTTGGATTATCAAATGATGAATCCTTTCTTAGTTGGGGGTTTCTCTAAAGGAAGACAATGACTTAGCCACGCTTGAATACATGCAATTAGAAGGCAAGAACGCTCTAAAAAGCGTGAAGTCTCTCTTTCTTGGAGATTAGATAAGATATAGGACGCTCTGAAAGTGTTGACTTCAACTTGCTTGGAGATAAGATAAGAAATAAGGCCGCAATTAATTCTTATAGGGAGCCTGTCTCCGGGCGTGGAAGCCATAGAGACCAACCATGTGGGGTAGGAGAAAAACAAAATGCTACAATAGCTAGCCAGGTTACACAGTAATCATTGACTGCCTTTAGTATGTACAATAATATAATATTCGTTCTCCAAACCTATTGTCTCGGCATGGGGAACTAAGTTATGTGAGAAAACCGTGACTGCAAGGACAATAGGCATGCCGAATAATGAGGGTAAGCGACGTCAAGCGCCATCAGGGCCTGGTTGTTCGAAAGGGGGTTAAATCCTAACCTTTGGATAAATTGCTTAACACGAGGATAAATTTTAATCGCAGGTTTGTTATATTCGAACTTCGGGTTAAACAGCGGGTTAAATTTAATCCTGCTAGCTGGGTGGGTTAAATACTAACCTTGGGTTAAATGATGATAAAAGCAATGTCAAAACAAAATGGCGCCTGGCTGACTTGCTGTCTCGGTTTACTGACTAATTAAAAGAGTAACAGATGGTTCAAACAACAACAACAAACTTTATTGTGTTCTCGGTACAAAAGTGTAGAGTCATTAAAAGGAAATAATCGCGAAAGAAAGAGAGCACAGCCACTCAGAAATAGTAAAAGCTAATCGCGCTGAGTGGCTGGGCCATGCGGAAAAGTAACGGGCTGCAAGAGTTGTTTTTGTCATACAAATCCTTCTAATTTTCGAGTCGGTAGCCGTTGCAATCACTACTTTTGAGATACAGGGCTGAAAATGTATAGGTTACTTAATTTTAATATGCTCTTTCAGCTCGTGCTAACAAAATTTTTCAAAAGCGATTACTGTTTTCGTGTTTACCGAAAGTGTTGATCACGTGATCAACTGATGCAAAGGGTTATTGGATTCAAATGTACCGAGAGAGCGGGCCTCAGGGTTCCCAAACCGTCCCCCGCGCTTTAACTATAGTTCAAGCTCGACCCGGTCAATATGGCCACCTGTAGTGCTCGTTCTCGACGATCTTGCGGAAAAACAGAGGACTTTGATCACTGTATAACACCATAACATTAATCAATAGCTCTGGTTCCGAACGAAAAGTCCACTTAGCGAATTTACGGTTTGTTAGTACGTAGGAAGGTAACGAGAGGTATATATTTGAACAAATTAGCACAAAGTTGGGAGGATGAGAGAATGTAAAGTGCCTGTGAAAAATAGATGATATTGAGCAAATGGCTGGGTACTGTCGCAATTTGTGATAATCATCGCACTTTGTAATACCCGTCGAAATTTGTAATAAATTGATCGCACTTTGTAATACCTGTCGCAATTTGTAATAAACCGTGTCGCACTTTGTAATAAAAAAGCTGTCGCAATTTGTAATAACTGTCCGTCGCACTTTGTAATAAACTGAGCTGTCGCAATTTATATTAATTCCATTGCACTCTGTAATAATTTTTTGAGAGTGATTCAACTTACTTCGTCGACTTTCTCGGATATAATGCCAAAATATGAATGTTTTCGGCTGAGCAGAGGGATGAAAAACAAGCTCCCCTAAAAACGCCTGAGTGGGAGGCTAAAGGCATTTGTTAATTAAACAGTCATTTCTTTAGGTTCCGTAGGTTCCGCCGGTTCCGCTGGTTCCACAGGTTCCACAGTTCCGCGGTCAGAAGTTCCTCATATTAGTCTTACCCCCAAAGAACTGAATTCTCTTTCACCTTGTTATTATCAGAATCTATTTGAGACTTCAGAGCTTGATTTTCTAGTTGAAAAACTTTCACTGTCTTGAGCGCCTCCACTCTACTAAAGTCACTTCTTGAACTCGTCGCCATTAAAGTTCAACGAATTTTCGACAGGTTCAATCTTCGATAACAAAATCTTGTCCAATTCCTCACGTGTACGTAGCCATAATTTTACGAAAACAAGGAAAATGAAAAAGACACGACGAAAAGATGCAAACAGTAAGAGATTTCGAAGCTAAATAAAAAACGCGTTTATCCTGCTCTCTAACCGCTGACCAAATTAGTTCAGACAAACGATAAAAATTCAAAATTCAAAATTTTACAAACAAAGAACTAAGAGCTGGCTACAGGTTTGGAAGCAGGTCAATCCTCTTCCAGTTCTTTTTTTTTTTCTTTTCGAAAGTTTGTGAATTCGATAAACATTGCACCAGAAACCCCCGTTAGAATAAGTTGAATGACTCAAAACCTTTTTTCTTCTCTTGCAGTGTGTTTTTGTTTTAACTACAAACGTACGGGTTCGCGTCTGTGACACGCTAAGAAAATCTGGTGCAACTAACCGGCTAAGCTTATATAATTAACTGAAGTAAGGGAAACTACATGCTTGTCCAATTTGGAAATAATTGAAATCAAAAAATGTCTCTTTCAGCCAAAGTTCTATTACATGTGGAAATACTGTCCTTAATACCCTGAATGTTTTTCATGAATCATCCACTAGTCAGTTTTAATTAGCTGTTTCTAAAATAGCGATAACATAACCGATTGGACCAATGAAAATACTAGATCAATTGTCCAATATCAAATTAGTTTGTTCTTTATTCAGGTGCTGTTCCTTTGGCACATGATGACCTATTTACGTGGGTCACTTTTACAAACAACTGGAACTAAGACTTTAAAAAATGGCTTGACTGATGTTTATGGGGGAGCTGTAGGCATGGTTCTGTTTCCAACTTCCAGTATTTCAGTTCTCGTCAAATGGTGTTTCATTTGGTTTGCACTAAACTGGCTTAATAACTTTCAAGCTCAAGGACAAGTACCATCAGTGGAGACTGTTACGAAAGCACGATGTGTTGCCAATTGTTACACCGTGGTAAGTCTACATATTTTATGTAAGAGGCTAAGCAAATATGAGAATAGGATTAATAAAACTAATTTACCTTGTGTGAAACTGGCTATTACTTTGAAATTCTTACAAATCAATGTTCTTAGTGTGCAAAGTCAACACTGAAGAGCACTGAAGTTTTATGTTCAATTTTTTCGTTACAATTTTAAGTCATTGCTTCCTGGCTATGTGCAATTTACGTAGATTTCAGGGCCGTATGTGAACGAGTATAGATTTACATTCACAGGTAAAATTTTATATTCCACTAGGATCCTAATTTATTTTAGTAAATATACTGAGTCAATGGAAGGGGAAATGCAGTTTAAATATACATTTTTTTATCTCAGTATGGACCGTCACGGTCAATGTGTTACTTAATGCAGTATTTTTGTTTGTTTGTTTGCTTTTTTTTAACCAACGAAATTAATAAAAGCGTTCATAATAATGATTTTAATACTGTTAACGCATTGTGCGTGCTATTATGTGGCATAAGTGAGAATGCCATGGTGTTATTTTTTTTGCTATAATGACCCTTCACTCTTAATCTTTTTACTTACAACTTTCTAACTTTCAAGTTAGTAATTTCCAGCGATTAAAGGGACATCTTATCTGATGCATGGTAATTCAAATGAAAATCAGCGCAATAACATTATAGACCGACCACACTTGGGGAAGACCACGTTTTCTTTTCTTTTCCTTTTTTTTGGGGGGGGCGGGGGAGGGGGGTCGTGAAGTGCGACATGGGCCTTTTCAAATTTAGAAAAATGTTATTTAGCTCCATTTACGAGGATTAAGCTTTTCAAGATTCTCGTTTATACAAGTCCGTAAAACGAGCCTAATTCTAACTACTAGAGCAATTTAGCACTCGATGATAGAGTTTCGTGTTGGCCCTAGTTAAGGTTGAGCAATTTGCAAAAAAGGTCTTAAATACTTTAAAGTAGAATTGTCCTTGGTAGTCAAAGTATATTTCCGTTAGCTAAGAACGAGTTACTCATCTTGTCATACCAAGAATCCCTACTCACTTAAACGAGGTTTTAGACTCTGTTATTGGGTTCATTTTACATATTTAATTTGTATCATTGTTTTTTAATTTTTCTGTTTTAGTATGCAGACAAAAAAAGTGACTCTGAGAGGATATGTGGAACCGCGGCTTGTCAAGAAGTAAGTGCTGATTTCGACTGAACAGAATGTCTGTTCTTGAGACTTCTTAAAGGCTTTTATTGACTACAATTGTCACTGCCATATTTTGCAATACTTGGCATTCAAGGAAAACCAATTTTCCTCCAGTTCCTATAAATCCATAACTTTTTCGGATGTGAAAAATTTATCGTTCTGATCATTCTTATTTTCAACAGTACCCTAATGTTTGCCCAATATTTTTACTTCAAAGTACCAGCAAGATAGATATATAGTTGATAAAAGTGCCTACGTGCAGATTGTTCCAATTATGACGGCGTTTGGCCGCTACTGAACTATGACAAACTACCATCGCAAGGATTCAAAAGAAGAAGGAGAAAATACATTTCATTTTCTCTGCCTTCCCTTTTCTTGCCTGCCACAGAGGCTAATGGAATTTCAAGGGGACAACTGGTCTTAGCAGAGTACTGATAAGCATTATAACCTACGAAGTGATTTTCCTGTTCCAAGATATAATACTGTTAAGTATGGCAAGCACAGTATCAGATATTTAGGCCCACAAATATGGGGCAAGATAAGCCAGGAACTCCTCAGTAAGACCAGTCTTCAGGCATTCAGGAGAGGGGTGCGTGCTCTCAATGTGCTTGGCTTGCTGGACGGTACGTGTGGCTGCTGTGCATGCTCATCTTAGAGTGGTGGGTATGCATAGTGGCTTCTGCTGTCTGGCTGCCTGGTGTATTGGGAGTGTGCTCCTCTATCCTCTATTTAATTCGTCTAATTTAAATTTTCTGGACTTTTAACTTTCTGAATTTTGTATTTATGTTTGACTGCTGCTTATATGTTTGTCTTATATTGTCTGTTCGTTTGTCTGTCTATCTGATTGTCTGTTTTGTTTTTTGTCTATCTATTTCATGTTTGTCTTTGTTTGTTCCCTGCTTGTCCTGCTGTTTGTCTGTAATAATTTTATATATTAATGTTATTTTTATATACTAATGATATTTTAAGAATACATTTTGAATATTTTTTACGTATACTTGATTTAATCTTATATTATATCCATTTTATTTATTTATAGTGTCCACAATTAGCTTTTGGCTAAATACCTTGACACTTTAATAAAGTTTATGTATGTATGTATGTATGATTATCAGCAAGGCCTCAAAAATTCAGTCTTTAGTTTCTTCGCGCGGGAATGCTGGGAATTCCAGTAACAAAAAATATTTTTTAAAAACCCATTTCGAATTCGAATATTTCTCTTTCTTTCTCACTCATTTGAAATTGAAACGATAAATACGTTCAAACACTCCCGTAGTTCCCTCGGAAACCACACCCGATTCCAGACTAAAATGGGTAAAGTCTACACCCGACTTCAAATCTTCAAAAAGGTGCAAAAACCATACCCTTTGGGACGGCACATAGTAACCTATTAGTAAATAGCTAATTTCAGGGAGTACCACCCTCGACGTTAGCTCACGACAGTTTGAACAAAACAGACACGACATATGCTTGGGTAGGGCCTTTTCTTCAATATCACACACTCAGCTACGGGACCGCGCTGACCTGGACACTACTTTTGCAAGTCTGAAAAGCGTTTACCTCAACCCCTGCCGAAATCAAATCTACGCGTCGGATACATCCGGAAATCCGCTTCTATCCTACCTAGTGTTTCATTCGATCCTAGATCTTTTATTGAAAATCTCTTTTTGAGCAAACTTTTACTAATCCTATTACATTATTTTATCATATCTGGTTAAAAACAGTATTCAAAGGATCATGAACAGAAGAGGTGAGAAATGCGTAGGCGCCGGGTGGGAGAAATCGCTTTCGTTTACCAAAGTAACAAGAGAAATGAATCAGTAACATTGGTGAGCAAATAATCATTATAAAAATTTGGAAAATGGATGGAAAAGGTTACGTATATTTGGAAAATCAGGCATTCTCGACCGTGAACCTTTCACAATCATTCAGGCTTCGTGCAATTTCTCACCTCTACTGATTTTCGAATTCGGAAGTATTCGTCGAATTTTTGCTTTCCCTGGTAAAATCCATCGGTGAATTCTCAATGGTATATAAAAAAATGAGTCCTCTGATGTGGCTTAGGCCTATAATCACGATTTCGGCTTGTAACTAGTTCAAATCTACAAGTTTTGTTGAGAGTATTCCGGATACGCTTTTGTTTCACGCGCGTCTTGTGGCAATCTAATGCGCATGTGCATCAGCTGACTGTGTCCCTTTAATGACCATTATGATGAAAATCTAACATAGGAAAACTGCATCTGTTATTGGAGCTACAAAACATATCAATCATTACTTGCCCCCTACCGCCTTGCATGATGTATATTACGGCCTTCTCCAATTACACTTTGACTATTGCAGCGTGGTGTGGGGTAGCAGTTGTTAAGTTTTGCGCGATAAATTTCATCGGCTCCAGAACCGTGCCGAACGTTCTCAAAAACTCCAATTATGATGCAGATGCGAGAAAACTTTTAAATGACTTGGGGTGGCAGAACCTTGAAACTCAGTGGCTAATTCATAAGGCTGTGATGATGTTTAAATCTTTGAATTGCCTTGCACCTGATAACCGGTCTTTAAAATTTATACTCCGCGGCGATATATTTAATTCCTACTACCTTAATAAGCTTGCTGTTCCCTTGCCATGAATCAATTATAGCTTCTGCTACAGCGGGGCTGCTCTATGGAGCAACTTCCCCTCTAATGCAAGACAATAAAACAAAATGTCCAACTAACTTTCGGAACGGCTGTTAACTTCTAGCTCGAACACTGCGTTCATCGACAACAGGCCTTAATTTAATAATTTTATTTATTTAAATATTTATTTATTTATTAATATGAACAGTCATTTTTGTAATTGCTATTACTGTTAATTCAAGAGTTTGTAATATTTTAGGATATTGTATATTAGCCCGATGTTTTTACCTTGTGTAAATGAAAGTGATGATGATGATGATAATGTTAAGAAATCGATGTAGCTGGTAACTTGCAGCGTGTAATGTGTCTGGGAAACTTCTTTTTTTCAGTGCTTATCACCGTGTGAAAAGACTTTCAAAAATGAATCAGTTTGCATCAAGGAGTGTGTAAGTAAAATGTTGACAAACATTTATCATTTTGAAACCGCCAAGCTTACCTTGTAGGAGGCAGAACCCTTTCTAGACGGTCTAAAGGAAGGGAAGAACGTTGAATTGTACCCAGTCAATCACTTCAAATTTCTTTCAGTGTAGCTCTGGCCAGTTTTATTAGCCTAAGTATTGGCCGCAAATAAGAAAATAAAATCAGCTCTTTGTCGTAATTTGCCAGCCTTTAGTTGCATTCAGTTTCGTTTTAATTGTGTAAATATTTTTTGCTTTGCTTCTGATTTTGCAGACTAATTCTAGCAGTTGTGAAGCAAGCTGTTGGTTTCTGAAATATTTAAAAACACTCTCGTCAATAAGAAATGGAGATGGATCCAAACCGCCAATCCCAGGCACACCAACATTAAGAAACAGGACTTTCACATCGATAACCCTACAATGGGAGCCTGTGAATACTACAAATGGTACCTCTGTGTACTTGATTGCAGTGGAGTTTAATGGGGATTCCTTAAAGTCACCATACTTCATTAACACGGTGCGCACCCAGTTCAGAATATCATTTTTCTTGAAATTTAGCAGGCCAACCTGTCAATTTATTTGTTCTCATTTATTTTTATCTAATTTCCTCAATCCATACTACAGCGTGCGAGTGCTAAATACAAAAATAGTAATTACGTTACATACGCAGCTGCATTGTCAGTCAACTTCTTTGAAAAAACAACTTATGTTTGAGAAATTGGGGAGTTACTACGGTTTTACTGCCTGAAGTCATAACAGTCGCTATTCTAGTTCAGCGCTAGCATGTTTTAAGAGCTACATGCATGATCGCCAGCAGTACCTAAGAATTGGCTCTGAAATGTCCAATATACGTAAATCTGAGTTCCACAAGGATCCATTCTGAAACCGGCCTTATTTAACGTGTTTATCAACTATTTGCCTGGCGTTCCAGATTATTGTTCCTTACAATCCTTCGTAGATTATTCCAAATTACATCTATCATTCCCCGTCAAGGACATCGACAGCGCTGCTCGACAAATAACCGAGGACCTGAAGGAAGTTGCCTCGTGGTGCTGTCAAAATAGCCTTTTGATCAACCCTGATAAAACGAAATTGCTCTTAATTGGCACCCGTCAAAAAGGAACTTATGCGTTATTTAAAACTCTCAGTAAGCAGTCTATTTTTGAGATAAGGCTGCTTATATTACTTTTGTCTTTGTAACGGTGAGAATCAGAGGCTATGTTACGGATATGTTGTTAAAATCTTGCGAATATATAGTTTTATAGTTTTATTTTTTAATGTTTTATATTTTTATAGTTCTGATGTGATGATACATGTATTTGATATTGACGTAATTACTTTGAAAAACCATCCGTGGAAAGGAATAAAGTTATTACGGGCGACCAGAGGAGCCAGCAATCGTAATCCCCAGGTCGTTATTTCGCATTCGTACCACTAAGAAGGAACAGGAATGCACAGAACCTAATTTGATCACGCGTGTTTCGAGCTTCTACCCCTCGTAATCTTATCACGCGTGTTTTGACCATCTGTCACGTGAAATTTACGCAAAGCACAGCGTTGGAGTAAAAGCGTTTGGACCTCACTGGGACCTTCGATCATCGTCGCCCGCAGTCCCCAACCTTTGGTTATTACTAGTTATTATTATAGTCGAGTAGCCTTGAGCCATTATATGGTTCTTAGAGGTTGAAATCTTTTCGGTTCTTCCTGACGTTCTTATTTTACCAAATCTCATCTTTAGGTATTATTAGTTCCTCGCATTACTATCAGTACGTCATCGCTGTGCGCAAGAGTCGGGTCACGTTTTCCTCGCCAATCTTTCAATGGTATACACTTCAAATACCATGTAGCAGTCCTTACAGAGAATTCATCTATCAGCTATGGGACAAAAACAACTGACAACCTAAGTAAGTATATTGAAGAAGATATGAATTTCTTTACATTAAGTAAGCGATTTCTCGCTCTTTAAGCGATTGGTAAAAAGTAAAGACCATTGAAATGGTCTGGCGCGATCTGTTTTCTTTTTCCCTAATACGCGCTCGATTTTAGACGTCAAAAACTGTAAATTATTATTATTTAAAAAAAAAATCAACAACAGCAACAAAAAAAGCAAAAGCTCTTCGTGGCTGTCCATGAACTCCATGATAACGTGAAAGCATGGATCGACCTACTAAATAATGGAACACACCGATAAAATGGTCAAAACAACTGAACAAAGAAACCAAAAAATACAAAACAAACTCCCTTGAAGAGTAACTTTACATCCTCGGCGGAGCGCGAAGTAAAGAATTCGCGACGCTCAGGAATGACCCAAAGTTGCTTTATTTGTGACGAGATTGAGCAGTCTGTAGGTTTTCCGTTTTATTCGATTATTTGACGAAGTGAGAACCGAATTAGTTCACTTCGATTTCACTGATTTATTCTTTAACTTAGTTGGGAAAGAAAGACTAATTATTCATGGCTTTCCGGGGGTTTGAAACTACTCACCTGTGTGACCCGTCAGATAAAAGGAGACTCTAAGTTGAGGGATTAGCCCATGGCGCCACTGCGGATGATGTGTTTTAAAGCTCTGTAAAGACCATGTTCCTTCGGTATTAAACTTTCTTGTGTTAATCCGACATGCCTGCGTGCTAATAGTCAGTGAAAAATTATCCTTAAAACATTCGAACTCGTAACATTGAGTCTTAGGCAATTCCATGCTCAACGTAATTGACTCCTTACCCATGCCTTATATATCTTTAATCAGTGCATAGGACTGTTATGCTGTTTTTGAAGCCTGATGTAAAAAAAAACGAATAGAGAATTCTTTTTCCACTGTTTGTTTGGTTAGACTTGTTACTCATAAACGTTTAGACCCAAGTCAAATTTAGATGGATTTGTATGGAGTCATCATAGCTTAACTGGGCTAACATCTCGGAGACCATTTGCCACGAAATTCTAGCTTTTTAAAAGTAGGCCTCTTAGATGTTGCTCTTTTCAGAATGTCCTGACAAATCCCATAATTTCACAAATTGACACCTTCGGCTGTTTCAAACGTCGTGCTACTTCCGTGCTAAGCTGGCTCGACTTTAGCTCGGATTAATATCTCCGTTCTCGGTACTTATCTCTTACATACAGATCAACGTACTCCACAAACATTGACTTTTGTCGTTGCTCTGGCCGTACATGCATGAAAGCCGCGTAGAATCTCACAATGCGGGTGAACCCACAATACAAGCTATGAAGATATTCTTATAAGGGAAGAAGCTTTTTCATTAATTGGAGTACATTGTTAGAAATTTCTTTCATTTTATCTTTTAGTACCACTTGTGCCCGTATCAGTTAGCAATATAACCATCAACAGTATTGTATATGTTGCCAATCCAGCTGTTGGCCAGTTCGGCAAACTGAAGCTGACAGCGGCTTGGAAGCAGCCACGAGGTATGTAGCATGCATCATGCCCATATTAAGCTGATTTAGCAACAGAACGCGAACGTCATATAACATAAGCAAATGTAAAGAGTAAATGCAACCTCTCCGTTCTTCAAAAGAATGTTAATCATAGTAACAGACCTGCAAAGTTGAAGTACCTTTATTTGCTTTCTTTATTCAATTTATTCAGTATAGTTCTAACGTTTTAGAGAGGGTCTGTCTGGAAAACCTAGACCACATCAATGCAAACAAATAAAATGGATTAAATATGTGAATTAAAAGAACCAGCTAAGACTCACTTACCGGTTATTCTTTGGTCCTTGCCTTCTGTCAATGTGAGCGATCGCAGCCTGGTTCCAGGATTTCAGATAGTAGGGCGCGAGAGAAAAATAAGGAGGAAAAACGTTAAACTGGCTGTGAGCCAAAAAAACTAACAAATTTTGGCAAGAGGACGGTCGGACACTCGCTGCAAGATAAAAAGACTGATCATTAGGGATTTAGAACCTTCGCTAAATGAAAATATCAGCGATGAAAAACGGTGTATTTCTTTTGGAGATGTATGTTTGGGAGCCGGGGAACCTTCCCTCGCTCTCGCCCCATTCTCGCCTCATTTTCCCTGTTTTCCCCCACATACCCTTTAAATGGCTCCCCACCATCTCATCTCTGAACGCCTGGAACAAGCTATGCGAGTGACTGTAACTGCAAATAATCAGCCAGTTGAAAAAACAGCTGCCGTATCGGAATGTTATGGTATTGCTTTTAAACTTTAAAAAATTAAGATTGATCGAGAAGTGTTGTTATTGTTGTTGTTTTTTTTTTTTTCACTCGAAATGTGGTCTTATTCCACGGTAGGAGTACTTCTACTCACGTATTTTTAGATCACAACGGTTTAACCTCGGCACCTCATGATAAACTCATCACTTTATTTTTTTTCTTCTTTGTTTTGCTCATAAACAGAAGATAATGAACAAGTTGTTTCGAACTACGCTGTTGTCTGGACCGACAACTGCTCGTTTCTCCGTCGGCCAAAAACAAAACTAACGGGCGGGGTAGGTACAACTTAATGAAATAGGGTAAATTAGTTACATAATGTAAGTGATTTGTGGAACAAATTCAATGCCGTCAGGTACGTGACTAAATGGTTTTGTAGATAACACAGCTTTATTTTAACGCTATAATGGTTTTCTGGTTGCAGCCTAATACAAGTGAGATTTTATACATTGATGAAAAAATTAAAAAATGCAGCAAGAATTTATTATCGGTAAGGCTTATTATTTGTATCTGGATACAACTTATTGCGATAATTGATTGTCAGGCAAAAATGAAAAATGAAAAGAAAAGAGAGATGAGAATTGAACTACCTTGGCCTTGGCTTTCAACAGTGCATGGGATTTTGAGCTACAGTACGTTGAACCTCCATTAAGCAGCGGTGTCAGTAAACGCGGGGTCGGGACCGTGGGCGGGGTCGGGGTCTATCTTTTTGCTAAACAATGCTTTCTTAGGGATAGGGTTAGGGTTAAGGGTGCGGGTTAAATTTAGGGTCAGGGTCAGGGTTAGGGTTAAGGATATGTTATGGTTGGGGTTAATGGCGTTATTTTGACTGCTTTTGAGGCTGTTTTGGTGGTATGTACGGTACCGCAAATGATCCTGTGAAAAACTGAGGGATGGAATGGATCTTAGTTGGACATTGGAACACGAATGAGCTGCCACTCTTACAATGTAACCTGGGACGTAAAAGAAGGAGCCTCTTCTTCTGTCCTTCTAAAGAAAAGGGAGGAATGACGCCAGATCAAAAGGTTAATTTATTCAACCAGTAAAAAAGAAAAAAATGGAATAAATCTGAAAAGGATATAATTACCGTATCAACCGTTGTACCCACATCGAGATAACAACCCAACGGGGTGGATTCTAAACAAACAGCTTCTTTTACTAGCGAGTTGGAAAAGTAGGACGTAAACCTTGTAAGCCTATAAGATTCTATCCTTGAACAACCAAATCCATTACCGAACGAGCGAACGAGACAATTTCCACTGCCGAGCTAACGACATGTATTTTAAAACTATAGGCTGATCACCTGACCAAAAGAGCGCGTAAATCTATCCCACCGCGCCGGCCTGGGCTGGCTAGCAGCCACAACCGTATTTCGCCCTTTGGCAATTGCTCAAATTTCGTCTCGTCGCCGTAAAAATTTAAAACAGGAATGACGTCACGCAGAAATAAGAATTATTTCAACGCCTTGAAGCTAAATACAACTTGTCTACTGTGCTTTCTAATTCTTGGTAACATCCAAGATTGCGACGATTGTTGGTGACGTCACAGGCCTCTGGCAGCGCTACGACCCATAAAATAAACCTCTTCTTATTGAGAAGATGAAGGCTTTCGATTGAAGGCAAAATCGTTTTGAAAAACTGCAACATATCAAATTCTCTAGGGAAGGGTTCTATCAACCCCTCCTGTACCACTGTGGGGGTATGAATTATACGTATACGTCCGTGGGTAAAGATAACTAATATTTTGAAATCATTTTTTTAATACTGCATGATAACTGGTTCGTGGGCATCTGCAAACTGTTCCTTGTGAAAAGAAGAAGTTATTAGTTATTGCAATACGTTTTGTTAGATATACGCCTTAAATAGCTGTTTGGTAAGTGCCGGAACAAGACTCACCTTTGAATATCCAGGTATGTACATATGTAGACATGGATATTGCAATATTCAATTTTGTCTTCTTATTTTGACCTCATCCTTTATTAATTTCATTTTATTCTGAATGATCTACAAAACCCCAAATAAAGCCTTGGAGTGCTTACCCTCAAAGCTATACAAAAACTGCACACATTGCAATTATTTTTTTCCCATGCAGAAAAATTTAAAGCATTTAATCAGTTTTGCATAAAAATCGAGAACTTAGCTTTTTGTGGTATTATGGAAACCATAATGAAAGAATTTAAAAGGCACCCAGAGTTGTTACAAGCCTCGAAGGAATAAGCTTGTTGAAGAAATGTTACTTTACTTGATATATGTAAACATCGTATGTAATCGTCACATGGTAAATTATTTGACACACAGAAGTAATTGGTTTGTGCAACAATGTCAACTCGGGTCAAACTAGAGAAATTTGTAAAAGCGAAGCAAAGTAATTAACACGTCAACTAAGTGTAAATAAAATTCCACTACAGAAAAATAGATAAAAAACAGCAAAAACAAATACTATCAATGCGTTTTATCTTCATTTACTATAGGATGCGAAAATACCACAGATTTCCCCAAAGATAAGTGCTACAAATGTAAGTTTACTTTTTTAAACCCGATTGCTTTGATAAAATTTTGTACTGACATTTAGTACAGGATGGCGAAAAGGCTGACAGTCCAACCTTTTAATAAAATTGCTAATGAAAGACGTAGATTGTCGTCTTTTCGGCGGTATACTCTGAGATCAGATAAACCCGTGCGTCAAAAGCCTGGTTAAACCATGGCTTACCAG